CTTCTTGGCCATGTGTGCGGTTAGTGTAACATGCGTAAGGGTCACAGGTTAGGGTTCAGGCTGTTGGAAACAAAGGTCAGAAGCCAAAGGACCTGATGCTTCAGGTTCGAACGAGAACACGGTCTCTCAGACTCTCCCCACACAACTACCCTAACTAGGATAATCCACTGGCAATCTGAAACAAAAAGCAGTATCCCGACTCCCACCTTTGCGGCACCGTCACGGGCTGGTGCCCCTCATGATGCCTCATCTCAGTAGCTAACATGTTAAATTTGGGGCATCAGGCATTGCGCTAAGGGCTGTATGTGTTCTCTCAGTGGAGCTGGAATGCAGCCCCACTTTATAGGAGAGGCCCCGAGGCTTTAAGGTCGAGCTCTACAGTGACCTCCCTGGAGGGAGGGCTGAACAAGGCACACTCACCATGGTGGCCCAAAGCGGTAGGCAATGTGGCAGGTAGGACACACGCCAGCCACAGACGGGCCGACTCAGAGCCCCGCTGGTTGGCGAGCACTGAGTTGGGCAGCATGCAGGAGGTGCCTGGGGCCTTCCGCTGCCGGCGAGGAGAGAGCCCTGTGGTGAAGAGTTCCAGGAGGAGAAGGGGAGGGCCTGGGGACCCTGGCTGGTTTTGATTGGCTATGGTGTGTGTCTGCAGGTGGGGAACAAGGTGGGAGGCAGACATTTCAGGTCTGGAGAGCACTGTGAACACAGGTGGGGACGGCCAAAGGGGATGTGGTCAAGAGTGGGCTGGGGGCAGGCCAGATGCGCAGGCGGGGCCAGGTCACAGGAAACCTTGCTTGCAGCTGCACGACCCCCCATCAGAGAAGTCGTGAGTAGCATGTGTGGCTCCCAGGAGTAGATGAGCTAAGAATGGGGTGTTTTAGGAAGTTGCTAGGCTTGGGTAGGCTGAGGCCACAAAGATTCTAGAGCCCTTACAGAAGAGAGGACCTTGTGGACAGACCCCTGAAAGGCTTCATTCCTGAAGACCTGAGGAGCACTGACGCCTTGCCCCTTTCATCCCCAGGAGTTCAGCCACCCTGTGGAGAGCCTCGCTCTGACTGTGGAGGAGGTGATGGACGTGCGCCGTGTGCTGGTGAAGGCCGAGATGGAGAAGTTCCTGCAGAACAAGGAGCTCGTCAGCAGTCTAAGGAAGGGGAAGGTGAGGTGGCCTGCACCCAGCTGCTCCCTCGTCAGGCAGGAGCCCTGGGTGGAGGGCAGGCCACGCGGCCTGAACCCTGGGCTGCTTCCTCACCAGGCAGGACTAACTAATCTGGGCCTTTTCTTACAGATTTGTTGTTGCTGCCGAACCAAGTTCCCGCTGTTCTCCTGGCCACCCACCTGTCTCTTCTGCAAGAGGTGAGCCTCTGTAAGCACCCTGGCTGTGAATTAACATGGGAGGAGGAGGTAAGCGTCTCTAAGCCAGCACTGTCCAGTAGAACTTCCTGTGATTGTGGGGATGTTCTATCATGTATCGTGGGCTAGTGCAACCATGGGACACAATAATACAATTTTAATAGCTAAGGGGCTCCCACCTTCAACCAAGGTGGGGTAACAGGGATTAGAACAGGCACCTTCCACCTGAAACAACCAAAAAAACCCATAAAAAACAGAAAACCCAAAGAACAGGCAACAGTAGATTTCAAGATACTGGATATCAGGTAACCACAGGAAACAGGCTGAGCCCTACAATTGCCTCAAATGGAGTTTCTAGGTCATGGCCCAGAGGCCACTTGGCTCCTCGAGTGGAGGAGGTACAGCTGAACCCAGAGAGACCAAGGCAGCTAAAGGTCTTAGTGTAGATTTCCAAGCAGGGAGAGAGCTGTCCACAGGGTGAGATCCCCCTGCAGTATTCAGCAGGGTACTTATCAGCACATATAAGAAAGGAAATTACTGAAGGCTGGGGAAGAAGCATCCTGTAGCAAGGACTGGCAGACTCCAAATCTGGCCTACTACCTGTTACGTAAATAAAATTTTATTGGAACAAAGCCACATCCTTTGTTTATTCATTTAGCCACATCTAAAATGTTTGCTATCTGACCCTTTACAGAAAAAGTATACTGACCCTGTGCTAAAGCTTGGAAGGAATAGTGTCTGTTCCCACCAACCATGGTGGAAATGTTGTAACTCATGAGCCACTGAGTGGCATACAGAGGAAGGTCTTGTCCCACTAGTGGCGAATAAGTACCCCTAGACTGAGCATTGTTCCAGACCTAAAAGTTGAAAAAAAGCAAGACCTAAAAGGACTAAACCATTCCCAAGTATCTTAAATGCTTCCCAGAACAAAGCTCAAGAATAGCAATAGAAAAATATCTAGCACCCAGCAAGATAAAAATGTCTAGCGTCTAATCAAAGGTATCAGGCATGTCAAGAAGCAGGAAAGCAGGGGCACCCGGGTGGCTCAGTTGTTAACCGTCTGCCTTCGGCTCAGGTCATGGTCCCAAGGCCCTGGGATCGAGCCCCACATCGGGCTCCCTGCTCAGCGGGAAGCCTGCTTCTCCCTCTCCCACGCCCCCTGCTTGTGTTCCCTCTCTTGCTGTGTCTCTCTCCGTGTCAAAAAAATGGATGAAAGCTTAAAAAAAAAAAGCAGGAAAACATGACCCATGATAGAAAAATCAATCAAAATCCCTCAGAACTGACATAGATGTTATAATTAGTAGATAAGTACATTAAAAGTTTTGAACTGTATTTCATATGTTCAAAAAGTCACAGGCATGAAAAATATGAAGACACAAAGTTCTAGACATAAAGACCAGAATGTTTGGATGAATGTTCCCAATTACACTAGATAAAATTAACAGCAGATTCAACATTCGGAAGAATGTGCAGAAGAAAAAATTAATGAACTCAAAGAGAAAGCAATAGTAGAAACTAAAATGAAAACACTGAGAGAAAAAATAATTTTAAAAAACGAAAATGGTGCCAGTGAGCTGTGGGATAATGTTAAGAAGTCTACTGTAGATGTAATTAAAGTCCCCAAGGGAAAAGAGGGGGGCAGAAAAAGCATTTGAGGAAATAATAGCTAAAAAGGTTTTCCAAATTTGATGAAAAATATAAACTCACAAGAAACTCAACCCTAAGCACAAGGAACATGAAAAAAATTACAACCAAGGCGCATATTAACCAAATTGATCAAAACTGTAATAAGGAGAAATTTTTTTTTAAAGATTTTATTTATTTTAGTAGCGCAGGGGAGGAGCAGAGGGAGAGGGACAAGCAGACTCCAAGCTGAGCGCAGAACGTGACGTGGGCTGAGGCAACATCAAGGGTCGATGCTTAACCAACTGAGCCACCCAGGTGCCCCAAGAGAAATTCTTAGAATCAGCCAGCAAATAAAGACATGTAGAGAGGACAGACAAGGGTGGTTGCAGGCTTCTCAGTGAAATAATGTGAGCAACAGGAGGACAGTAAAAAAGCATTTTTGAAGGACTGAAAAAGTGTCCACCTAGCATCCTATACCTAGCAACACTGCTTCAAAAACAAAGACAAAAAGTAAAAACATCTCCAGAAATAAAAAAAACCAAAAGAATTCTTCAGCAGTAGGCCCACTAAAACAAATGTTCAGTGAGGTCCTTCACATACAAGGAAAATGACACCAGATGGCAATCTGCATCCACATGGATGGAGAGCACCGGAAGTAGCAACTAGTAAGAGAACATAGAAGTTGATTTTCTTACAACTCTTTACAAGGTAAGTCAAGATCCAGCACCCAACAGGGTGAAATGCAGTGTCCCGTCTCAGTGATTACCAGGCTTGCCAAAAAATTAACAGCAATGTATTATGGGATTTATAACATACCTCTAAGTAAAAAATACCCTACCAATGGCATTAATGCCAAGGAGGGGGTCAGAAGAAGGATGCTACTGGGGGTTTTTTATACTCTACATGAAGTGGTAAAATATTACTTGACGGTAGACTGTGATAAGTTACAGAAGTATAGTAGAAATCTGAAAGCAACCACTAAAGTAAGAAAGCAGAGGAAGAGCATGGAATCATATAAAGTAATCAATTAGTAAAAAGGAAAAGGGGACAAAGAATAAATAGGGCAAAAAGAAAACAAACAGCAAGATGATAGCCCTGAACCCCACTGTGTCATAGTTAACCTTAACTGTAAAATGTCTACACAACAGACGACGAAAGAAAGCAAGACCATCCGCTGCCTGCAAGACATGTGCTTTACCTAAAAAAGACAAAGACTGGTTAGAAGAAGAGTGGCAGTCCATGCCAACACTAGTCAAAAGAAAGATGATGAAACATTACCAGAGATAAAGGTGTCCCTGTCATAATAAGGAGAGAAAACAACTATTGTAAACACCATACTAACAACAGAAGTAAAAAATATGTGGAGTAAAAATCTGATACAGTGGCAAGGAAAAATAGATAAATCCGGAGTTCTAATTAGAGGTTAACAGGCTTCTCTCAACAATTGATAAAGCTTGCAGACAGAAAAATACTACGGATATTGAAGACTTGAACACTACCAACTGATTTGATCTGACATTCATAGCACAGTCCACCCAACCACAGCAGAATGTACTCCTTCTCAAGTGCACACGGAACATTTACCAAAATAGACCATATTCTGGGTCATAAAACAGGTCTCAAAAATGCAGAAGGATTCAAGTCATGGAAAGTACGTTCCCTGACCGCAGTGAAACAAGATAAAATTAACCCAGAGGTTTCTAGATGGCAAACCAATTATAAAATGTCCATGCAAGAGGACACTGTCCCTTTTTTTTTTTTTTTAAAGATTTTATTTATTTATTTGACAGAGAGAGACACAGCGAGAGGGGGAACACAAGCAGGGGGAGTGGGAGAGGGAGAAGCAGGCTTCCCGCAGAGCAGGGAGCCCGATGCGGGGCTCGAGCCCAGGACCCTGGGACCACGACCTGAGCCGAAGGCAGACGCTTAACGACTGAGCCACCCAGGCGCCCCTGTCCCTTCTTTTAAAGAATAAATTTGGACAATTTGTCCCCTGATGTATCTTTATAGAATAGTACGCATAATACCCCATTTATTTTTATTTTACGTTTAAATGTGTGTCTTTGTCAATCGCACTTGGATCTGGAGAAGGGAAACGTGTCAGCAGCATTGCCTCTAAGGGCTCCTGGGTCTCCATTACAGTCCTCTCTCTGTTGGGGTTTTTCCAAGAAGGCGTTCATTTTTGAAATCAGGAATGGAGAATAAAAGGATGTTCATCACGCTTAAAACTGAGCTGCTCAACTGTGGCCCCTCTGGCTTGGAAGGCTTGTCGTGGAAGTGTCAGGCACACGAAGAATCCCCAGACCAAACCATCCAGAAAAAGCTGTGAAGGGCAGAAATATTTTGGATGTACAGTTAATTAAAAAGAAGAGCAAGATTTGGGGATAAAATAAGCGAAATACTGAATAACTGGGGGTCGGACAGGGGGCAGGGCAGCTGACTGGCGGGAACGGTTTCTCTGTGGCCTCTTCACAGCTGACCCCCCTCTTTCCCTTCCAGGGCTGTCTGCACGTCCTGCAGCATAAAGGTGAGGCGTGTCTGGGGTCTGAGCAAGGCCCCAGGTGTGTGAGGCGTCCTGTGGCTGACGTGGCTTGTCAAGAGGGGCAGATCTGGGTGGGGGGTGCACAGAGGCCTGCTGTCTCCTACGAGCTGGTCACACGTGGACCAGCTTGTCCATCTCCTTCCTCCACACAAAACCCATCCCTACACTTTCCAAGACTGTGTAGTTTTTATTATTATTTTCTTTGAGGGGGAGGAGGGGCAGAGGGAGAGAGAATCTTAAGCAGACTCCCCGCTGAGCATGGAGAAAGGCGTGGGGCTTGATCTTACGACCCTGAGACGATTGACCTAAAACAAAATCAAGAGTCGGACCCTTAACCGACTGAGCCACCCAGGTGCCCCAAGACTGTGTAGTTTTTAAAGACTTGTAGGTGGTCTTTAAAAAAAATTTTTTTTAAAAGATTTTATTTGAGAGAGAGACAGTGAGAGAGAGCACAAGATGGGGTAGGGTCAGAGGGAGAAGCAGACTCCCCACTGAGCAGGGAGCCCGATGCGGGACTCGATCCAGGGACTCCAGGATCATGACCTGAGCTGAACGCAGGAAGCTTAACACCTGTGCCACCCAGGTGCCCCCCAAAAATGTTTTTTGACATTCCATGTTAGCAGGCTGGTAAAAGAAAAACCCTACACTTCCCCTTGGAAGGTCCTACCTTCTGACACTGCAACTTCCTTGAATGTTTCTGGACAGGTTCTTTATAGCAGTCTTGGGGGGGGGGGTCTTTGTACCTGCAGATGCACAGACAGAGGGTAGAGTCCCATTTAGAACTGTGTCATCCTGGTACACCCCAGCCTAGAAACAAGGGCCTGTGGGAAAGGGGTTTTACCACCATGATTTTCAAACCCTTTGTATTCTGCCATTTCACTGCTGAGAAACCTCCACCTAGTCAACATTAAGAATTTACTGCGTGCAGGGTGTGTGCCAGATGGTATACAGTACAAGTGTCTGTCTAGAGGAGTGCAAGTTGTGGTTGGGTGTGGGTACCAATCAAGGGGGCCCATGCCTTCAGATGGCAGGCGTGGAGTGGGGGTCCAGAGAGCACACATAGGGCAAATGATGACCTCTAGACACTCCCAGAGTGTCACGCAGGACGAGAGCAGGCAGCTGTCCGTGGGGGTGTGTGTGTGCACGAGCCTGTCTCGGGGGGGGTGCCTGGTCCATATCTTCGTCTGTGTGTTGTAGATGAAGATGCCTTCTAAGAAGTTTGCGCACATTCCCGTCTACACGCTGGGCTTTGAGAGTCCTCGGAGGGTGTCAACTACCAGAACTACACCGACCCAGAGAAGAGATCCCTTCCAGTGTGTTCCTTTGCCCTTTGCTGGTATCACTGTGGTGGTCAGGCACCAACAGTAATAAAGGAGCTGGGGGGGTGGGGGGGGTGGTTTGCTAGGACACTCCCAGGACAAGGAAATCCAAGGCAGCTGTCTAGTAAGACTTCTCAGAGGGTCTGGGGGCTGAGTGGTGGGAACTGGAAATGGAACTGGTGGGCAGACCCCAAGACTCCAGCTACCTCTTGAGGAAAAAGCTTTTGCTGGGGGGAGGAGATGGAGGGGTTATGGCGGGTGGGCTGTGGATATGGAGGAACCGGGGAGAGACTTCCCTGACAGCTCTGTCCTGCTCCAGATCCCTGCAGGGGCCCCAGTGGCAGAGTGTGGAGCAGGCATTCCCACACATCTACACCCACGGCTGTGTCCTCAAGGATGTGTGCAGCGACTGCACCAGCTTCGTGGCAGATGTGGTACGCTCTAGCCGCAAGAGTGTGGATGCCCTCAACACCACGCCTCGCCGTACCCGCCAAACCCAGTCCCTCTACATCCCTAACACCTGGACTCTCAACTTCAAGTGATGGCTCTCAGCCTTCCTGGGCCACCTAGCCAGAGGCTTTTCAAGGTGGCCAGGTCTCTGGAGAGGAGCCAGGCTAGTCCTGCCCCCTGGCTAAGAAACTCCCCATCCTGGGCCACAGCTGCTGGCCTGCCCTTCTGAGTGTGCATGTACATATATACATATATAGATACGTTTATATAATATATACACACAGCCTATATATTTATATACATGTTTTCTGGCCCCAGAGTTTATTTGGGGTCAGGCTCACTCCAGGACCCTCCCCGGGGGAGGCTGTTTGCTTTTGGGAGTCCTTGGCTGGGGGTAGGGGATTGCACTGGAGTAGGTTTTCTCACTCAGGAAGAAGGGCAGGTTGGAGATACAACAGTGGATTCCAGATGATAGGGCTTTGGGAAGACCCCCACCCGTGTTGGTTCTCTTCTCCATCCCCAAGAATCAGAACACAGCAGCTTCCCCTCCCTGGGTAGATGTCCAGGCTGGGACAGGATGCTTTGGTCCCCAGGTAGACAGGAGCACTCTGAGCAGAACCTGGTCTGTGGAAGCAGCCAGGAAGACCAGGAGTGGACAGATACTTTCCTAGCGGCATCATACCCTTCCAATTGCAAGGTTCAAGGCCAAGCTCCCTCCTTGCCCCCTGCCCAGCTTCCGTGCCCCAGCCATCCTCACAGACTCAGAGGTCCAGAGATGGTGCTGGTTCCAGGGCCCTGGTGATGCTGGTGATCCTGGTGCAGGGAGGAACTCTGTAAATTTGTACACACAGCTGCTCTTGGCCTAATAAAGGTGGTCTCACAGTCTTTTGTCTGGGGTGTGGGCTGAGGACTATTGAGCCACAGTGGTGGGCACATTCTCTGAGGGCAGAAGCTGGGCTTTTAGGGGCTACCTGCCCTCTGGTGCACATTCAGGATGCCCATCATGAGATGAAGGTGCTCAGGCCCACTCCTGTCCATGATGCCCAACTTCATGATCTGGCCATCTTGGTCCCATGGCCGGCAGGGCTGCATGTGGCTCAGCCTGATGCCTATAAACTGCCGGCCTCATCCCCAGATCCCTACTCCCGTTCTCTGGGCAGATGATTCCCTTAGGGTTTGCAGGGTGGGGGCAGCTCCACCTGCTCTTCAGGAGAATGGCTAGAGAAGCACCTACGTGCTCCGCCTGCCACATGCATCTGGGAGGTGGGTATCAACCCACCTTACAGGTAAGGAAACTGAGGCTCAAGAGGGGAAGGAATTTGGCCAAAGACAGCTCACCTGGGACCTCAACCCAGGCCTATTGGATGCCAGGCTCTAATTGTCTGTCACATGGACGGGAGCCCAGAGGAGGCCCCAAGGGTCAGGACTTGTAACACAGGGGCCTGCAGGAGAGAGTACTTCATCAGTTGGCGTCCATGACATTCAATTACACTAAATTACAACAGCCAATAAAAACATCAGCTTCCAACACTTATGGGCACTTCATGGGCAGGGAGTATTATTATTCCCATTTAAAAATGAGAAAGCAAAGGGGTTCCTTAAGCTCAGTCGCTTAAGTGTCCAACCCTTGATGTCGGCTCAGGTCATGATTGCAGGGTCATGAGACCGAGCCCCTTGTTGGTCTCCCCCCTTGGACATGGAGCCTTCTGCCCCACTCTCCCTCTCTTAAAAAAAAAAAGAAAAGAAAAAAATGAGAAGCAGATAGAGAGAGGGTAAAGATTTGCTCCTAGTCACACAGCCAGCAATGGGAAAGCTAATATTTGTGCAGCAACCTCCAAGGGCAGCTGCTCCTGGGAAGTGAGCGCTGTTGTCATTGTTTTAATTACACAGGTGAGGAAGTGGGCCAGGGAATAGGTTGAGGCCCACGTTCCCAATAGTGGGAAACCAGGGTTCTACTCCACACAGGAATACTTGGATATAAAAATAAAAACCCATGTTGGGACAGCTAGGCTGACCTGCAAGGGGCCCACATAAATCTTGAAGGTGAAGTGGGAAGGGTGTTTCCACATTCTTGCGGAACTCGCCTCCTGCTGGCCCCAGGTACTGAAAGCCGTGCAGTCACCCCATTGAACCAAGCCCTATCTCTACCTCACCTAATTTAGATTGTGACCAACGGAGCTTTCTCTAGAGCTGTTTACAACCAAACTCCTTACTGAGGGCCATGCCTTCGGTGGTACAGGGAGATATTTCATGATTTCCACTCAGGTTGGGCCTGATGTTACATCTCTCAGTGGCACATGGCTGCTCTCTTGTGGAAGCACAAAGGAGGGAGCATTTCCAGGCTGAGACTCCCCAAGTTTTCATCCACAGGGGAGGCAAAACACCTGCCTAAATCGGTCACACTGCTTCAGGGGTGACACAATCTATTTAGCCTGGCCGTGGCCAGTAGCATGGACAAGGGAGTGTTGTCCTGGAGGTTCCCCCGGGGCTGAGCGCAGCCCTTTAATAACAGGATTACGGAGAGTAAAGAGGGTAAATTCTAGGGGACTCCAGGGGAGCGGCTGGAGCAGGTGGTGCATGTCGGGGACTAGAGACAGCCAATGTGAAGTACTGCAAGATCCTGAGGACCAGTACAGGCTGACCAGCCACGCACACCTGTGTGCACACACCCTCTCCCTCTGTGTGTCTCTGGAGACTCAATTCCCAATCTGAGAGAGGAACATTCAGACTTAGGGAGGAAAGCAGGATGGGGTGGAGCTCAAGGGTCAAGGGAGAGGGATCCCAGAGGCCATGACCCACCCGGTCCCTGTCTCCCTTTCTTGGTCCTTGCCAGTGGCCTTCCTCATTTGAACCTCGGAACCACAGACCTGCACGCAAACCCAGGTTCCACCTGGGCCAGTTACTCTCTGAATCCCAGTTTACTTGTAAACGGCGGGGATACCTATTCCCAGGATGTAAGAATTTGGCAGAGCGCCATCGCCACACTCAAGGCTGCCGTCTCCTCTTTTCTAACAGACTCACACCACTTCCTCCTGCTCCTGCATTTACAGCTCTGCAGTGCAGAGCTTCTCAATCCTGCCTGCACATTTCAGTCCCCTGAAGAGCTCTTAATATCAATGCCTGACCCCACCTCGGAACTGCTAGGGAATTTAACCTCCCCAGGAGGTGAAAACACAGTAAGGGATTCCCGTACCTAGACGAACAGGAGAATCGCCTGGGACGCATTAACGACAACAAAAGGCAAACGCCCAGGACAGCCCCGAAGAGTCGGTTTCAGTCTATCCCGGGGAGGAAGACGTCCAGAAATCTGCAGCTTTGGGAAGCTCCTCGATTTCGATGTTACTTTTAATGAGGGAGCTGTCCCGCCTGCAACCGCGGAGGCAGACCGGGAGCACTCACCTGCCCTCCAGGTCGCCCAGCTGTCTGTCACCTGTGCACCGCCACAGGAGGAATGCCACGAGGCAGTGCGCCCACCCGCGCGCACGTCCTCCTCACCTAGCCCCACCTGCAGGTTCCTCCCGCCCGGCGAGCCCACACTCGGGGAGCAGGGTCTAGGTTCCGGTGTAGACGGCTCGGAGCCCGTGTAGGCCCCGCCCCAGCCCGACTGCGGTCGCGGACACGCCTCCGGAAGACCCTGAGACACCAGCGCTGGTACCGCGGGAGAGACCGCCGCACGGAGGCGCCCAACTCGCGCGAGAACTGGCCTGGACGCGCCCGCACCTTCTTTAATGCCCCTGTTGACGGAGAGGAAGTTCCGGAGAACCTCAGCGCGCAGACGCGACACGCCAGCCTCGCGCCAGCGCGCCCCAAGTGCGCAGGCGTGCCGGCCGTTCTCTTTTCTGCTCTTCCTTCTCCCCGTCTCCAGACGTCAGCGGCCGTTGGGTCCTATGTCGCGCCGGGCCCTCCGGAGGCTGAGGGGGGAACAGCGCGGCCAGGAGCCCCTCGGGCCCGGCGCCCTGCAGTTTGTCCTCCACGATGACGATGATGCGGAAGAAGAAGGTCCAAAGCGGGGTCCCGGTGGCCGGCGTCCCCGAGGCGCAGGGAAGGAGGGCGTCTGCGTCAACAACCGGTTCGAGCTGGTGAGGAACGGGGCTGCCTGGGGTGGGGGCGGTGGGAGGGGGCAGTGGGAGGGGCGGGTCCGTGACGTCACGGGGCGGGGCAACACGTGGTCTGGGCTGCAGCGGGGGCGGTGCTAAGGGGGGGTGAGGCGGGCTATGTGGTGGGCGTGGCGACGTCGGGTTTGGGCTGCGGCGAGGAGGCAGGGCAATTGCGGTCTGGGCGTGGTCGTGACGTCGAGAGGCGGGTCCGCCGCCCAGTGGGCGGGGCTTCACGTCTCAGGCTCTGGGGGCTCTTGGCTTTGTTTCAGGGTTGAGCATTGCCTACGCCAGGCTTTCGCAGGGCCATTGCAGACAGTCTTGTCTACTCCTCACAGCGCAGGTCTTGGTGTTTTGCTCCTCATCACTGGGTCCCCCGCAGCACGTGTCTGGCGCGGAAATAACACGATGGATGCGAATTGAGGGAGTAAACGCCCACCGGGGTTTCTTTAGCTGGCCTCAGTACTTCTGCTTGTGCGTCTTATTCTTGCTTCTCTGACCTCTCTGTGCGGGCAGGTGACTGTCTGTTGTGCTCACCTTGGATCCCCTCCACGGTGTGCCCGAGTGGTTGAACACACAGCAGTAGGTCTGAAGATGATGGGGAAACCAGTGACCCTTTGGAAGCGCTTTCTTGGTCTTGTGATGGCTCCCAGCTTTATGTAAACTTGGCAGGTTAGGAGCCCATCATTAGATGGTGGAGAATGTGGGCTTCCCTGCTGGGAGTTGGGCGATCGACCTTCCCTCTGAAGGCCAGCGAGCCTCAGCTGTAGTCTGTGATGGAGGTGGGACCAATTCCTTTCTCTTTTTTTTTAAAGATTTTACTTATTTATGTCAGAGAGAGAGAGAGCACAAGCAGGGGGAGTGGCAGGCAGAGGAGGCAGAAGGAGAAGCAGGCTCCCCACCGAGCAGGGAGCCTGATGTGGGACTCCATCCCAGGACCCTGTGATCATGACCTGAGCCGAAGGCAGACGCTCAACCAACTGAGCCACCCAGGCGCCCCTGACCAAGTCCTTTCTTGAGATTCTCTATAGTCTCCTTCCACCTGTTCTGATTCTGAGACCAGAAGTAACTCCCTCACCTCTGCCTTGTTTCTTACCGTTTCTTTCTTTTTGACATTTTTATTATAAACAGTTTCAAACGTGTACAAAAACAAGAGTAGTATTAACCTTCCTGTGCTCATCTCCCAGCTCCCACAGTTGGACTCACAGCAGTTTGTCTCCCCACTGTTTCTGTCACATCATGTGTTCTTAAATTTGCCATTTTTCTGACTTCTTTCAAAACACTCAAGTCTTTCCCATCTCACTTGTTCACAGGCTGAAACCAGTCTGCGCTGTAGTCGACCATCTCCATGGACATTTGAGCAGCTTGTGCTTTCTCTTTCCCATATCCCCCAGATTTAGTCTTTAACACCAGTAGCTTTTCTTTGGAGGACATTTACACATTCCAGGCACTGCTGCTGTATCTTGGGATTCTCGTAGTCTGAAAGGAGGTCATACTGTCCCCCTTGTGCAAATGAGGTAGTAAGTGACACGTGCAGAGTAAATCTAGGTTTTCTGACTTAAAACTTGTACTCTCAACCACGTCATGGTATTTTTCTCTGAAGCAAGTTAATGTTTCTGCTGAAAAAGAGGATAAATGGAGAGAGATGGAAAAAGTGGCAGGTGCTTATGTGTGAAGGGAGAGGAGAAATACTAATGTGGACTTCCCTGTGAGATCACGTCAGGGGGACTCGGGCTGTACCTGCTCGGAACTCTGTGTGTCCCCCTTCCACTTTCTTTCATTTTTTCTTTTTTTTAAGATTTGTATTTATTTATTTGAAAGAGAGAGACACAGCCAGAGAGAGAACACAAGCAGGGGGAGTGGGAGAGGGAGAAGCAGGCTTCCCGCCGAGCAGGGAGCCCGACGCAGGGCTTGATCCAGGACCCTGGGATCATGACCTGAGCCGAAGGCAGGCACTTAAACGACTGAGCCACCCAGGTGCCCCACCTCCTTCTTTCTGATGTTGCTGTCACCAGCTCTGATGTCCTTCCCAGTCTTGGGATTCATGGATCCAGCTCAACATCTGTCTCCTCTTACGCCTTTCACAGACATCTCAAACCCAGTGTGTTAACTGCCCTTTCTGCCTCCTCCAGCCTTCCCTCTCTCTGTGGAGGGCATCTCCATTTTTTCTCTTGTCCACGCCAGCAGTGTGAAGGCGTTCTGATCTTCTTTCTCTCTCTCACCATACACTCAGACCATTGGGAAGTCCTATGGCAACTCCAGGTGCAGCACCTGGGGGGGTGACCATTGCCTATGGCCTGGATCATCACCTTCCTTCTACCCAGTCCTTCTTCCGCTCTTGTTCCTTTGCAGTCTGTCTGATCACAAGCCACAGTGACCCTGTTAGGCTCGTGTCTGACCTCAGCCCTCCTTTCTTCACAACCCCTCAATGGCTCCAGGCTGGCCCAGTTCGCCCCATGAGCTCTCCTACCTCATTTCTTTATCATCTTGTTTGCTGTGCTCTAGCCATAGTGATCTGTCCCCTTTGCCGTCTCCTCTGCCTTTAATGCCTTGTATTCAGGTGTCATAATGACTCCTTCCTCAGGTTTTGCTCAGATGTCACTTTCTCAGTCTTGCTTACCCTTCCTGCCTGCTTTTAAAAGTACACTTACCCCAGGGCGCCTGGGTGGCTGGGTTAATTAAGCATCCAGCTTGTGATTTCGGCTCAGGTCCTGATCTCAGGGTTGTGAGATCAAGCCCTGCATCCTTGGACTCTGCGCTCTGCAGGAAGTCAGCTTGAGGATTTTCTCTCTCCCTCTGCCCCTCCCCTGCACTCACTCTCTCTAAAATAAATAAATCCTAGGGGCTCCTGGGTGGCTCAGTCGTTACACGTCTGCCTTCAGCTCAGGTCACGATCCCAGGGTGCTGGGATGGAATTCTGCATTGGGTTCCCTGCTCTGCGGGGAAGCCTGCTTCTCCTTCTCCCTCTGCATGTGCACTCTCTCTCTCTCAAAATCTTAAAAAAAAAAAAAAGTTCAGTTACCTCCACACTCTCATGTCTCTTCTTTCTTATTTTTCCTTGGCTATTAACACAGAATATAGCATACAAATTACCTGTCGGTTTTTTTAGATTTGGTGTTGCTTTGTTTCCCTGCTGAAGTATAAGCTTTGTGGGAACAGAGACTGTGCTGTTCCCTAACGTGTCCTCACCACCCTGTGTCTGGCACCCAGGTATGCGGAAAAGCTACTGCATGAGTCAGCATTTCCTCTAAGAGGACCAGCAGGTGTTGTCTCCAGCCAGAATGTATGCGTACAGGCTTTGGAGAAGGACGTAGGTTTGAATCCTGGCTCCACCTCTTCAAAGCTGTGAGAATGTAGGCAAGATATCTAACACAAATTTCAGTTTCCCTGTTTCTTAGGGATGATCTTACTTTACTTCATGGGGTTGTCATGTGTGATATATGAATTAACATGTGCAGCCTTTAGCCCAAGCTAGGCATATCGTCAACACGCTGCCAATGCAGATTTTAAATGACACTGGAAACCAAGTGAAGGCTGCAGTAGAACTTAAGTAGAAACGTGATCCTAGGTGGTTTACTTAGAAGCATTTCCAGGGGCCAGCAGTGTTCTCTGAGGAGAGGAAAGCAGAGCAGAGAGACACTGTCCTTTGTTAGTGTATAAATTTGTCCTCATGACTGGCTCTTGGGTGAGGGTTTTTTTTTTTTTTGGCTTTAGATTAGAAATCGTTTTTCTACTTCAGAGTAGTTTTTAAAAACCAGCTTTATTGAAGCGTAACACATATTTGATAAATTCACCCGTTTCAGATGTATAGTTCAAGTTTTGCAGCATGACATACCGTGTAGCGGTTGAGGATAATAGAGAATAGAACTCCGTATTTTGGGAGTCAAGGACTACTTCGACAGTCTGCTAAAAACCACACAAATAGACTTTTAAAAATGATCAGACTTGATAGCATTGAGAAATTTTCCCTCTAAGTGAGGAAGATCAGTATTTCACAAAGAATTACATTCAGCCTTTGAACAACACTGGGGCTAGGGGCCCTAAACCCCATGCAGTTGAAAATCTGCCTTTAACTTTTGATTTCCCCAAAACTTAACTGCTAAAAGCTTACTATTTGCTGGAAGCTTTATTAATAACATAGCAGCTACATTGTATGTATTATATACTGCATTCTTAAAGTAAGCTGGAGAAAAGAAAATGTTACAAAGAAATAACCACAACCTGAGCTGAAGGCAGATGCTTAACCACTGGGCCACCCAGGCACCCTTCAAATAAATAAATCTTTTTTTTTTTTTTAAGATTTTATTTATTTGATAGAGAGCGAGAGAGCACAAGTAGGGGGAGCAGTAGAGGGAGAGGGAGAAGCAGGGCTCGATCCCAGGACCCTGGGATCATGACCTGAGCCGAAGGCAGACGCCTAACCATCTGAGCCACCCAGGCGCCCCTCAAATAAATAAATTTTAAGGAAAA